CGTATATACTATGCTTACTAAATTTATATTCAATTAATTAGCATCCAGAAAACATGGTCATACATTCTCTCTTATAAAATAAATTATGGTAATTTACAATTATGAATTCAAAGGCAACCGATGGTAATATTTCGTCCACAATTCCCGTGTCTTTTGAAACTCTATTTAGTATTCGTCCTAAAAGTGAACGTAAAATTAATTTACATTAATTCAAAATAATATAAATGTTAATAATGTGACCGATGGGTGAACTCTCGAACAGATGTATCGGTGATCGCAATAATGCATAGAATATTCGGTTATAGAGATTAACCGAAGATCTTATACACATTATGTAGAAACAAATGGTGGACAACAGGGCCGACACAAACAGACCACACATTATACTCGTGTAGATAATTATGTTGAATGTCTGGTCAACTTCTTCGGGGTTTTTGATCATTTCATTAGTCCTAATATAATGTCTTAAATTAAAATAAAACTATTTTCTTATATTAATAGTACTGACCATAGGCTCAGCCAATAATCACTTCCCTGATTGACGACTTGTGCAGCGATTATAACCAAAATGGTAAGTGTTATGAGTAGAGGTCCGGCGCCGGCCATAATGTAATCCATATAAACACTGGTCTCAACGGATCCAATCATTTTGAGTTCGGCCTTCACTTCCTGTTCGTCCACTTCTATCGGTTCCCTAACGTCCGTCACATTCGATCCCTCACTAAGGGATGAGACCATCGATGGTGTGATAGATATCCTCCTCTTTACAGCTATGCTAGCATTTGGTCCATCGGTTTGTCTGTGATATGCCATGAGATCAATGCCGCGCTCTTTGAGCTGAGTGTAGGACCCGATGGCCACACACTCGCCGTCGTTGAGCACAAGTATTTGATGCGCGTCTTTGAGAAACTGGATGCTATGCGTCACTAAAATAGTCGCCTTGTCTTTCAAGTACTGAACACAACATCTAATGAATAATATAATAAGCGTTAATTAGTTTGTAATGTAATTAATAACATATAAACATTAATAACATGTACTTCTGGAAGAGATGTTTGGCCACATGTGTGTCGACAGCACTCAAGATGTCGTCCAATAGGTAGATGTCTGCCGAGTGGTACAGAGTCCGGGCCAGACTCAGCCTAGCCTTCTGTCCGCCACTCAATGCCAGCCCTCTCTCCCCCACAAGTGTTTTGTCCCCAAATGGCATGAGTTGGAAATCTGTGTCCAAAGCGCACGCTTTCACCACTCGATTGTATTTCTCTTCATTATATTGAGAGCCAAACAGAATATTCTGTCGAACACTCGCTATGAAAGCCCACGACTCCTGCGGCGCGTACGACACCCGACCCCTCACTACCACTCGACCCGACACTACGGTTATCTCATTCAGTATTGACATCAATAGTGAACTCTAATTTTGAATAATAATAATTATTACTTACAATTACTATATTCAAAACACCATACCTTTCCACTGCCAACGGATCCGACGACAGCCAACAGTTCGCCGGGTTTTACACTCAAAAGGAATTAATCTATATATCAAATTGCTTAGCCCATTTTAATTTATATGTACATGTTCAGTACGGTCCATAGATTTATTTACCGTTGAGAGAATCTGCCAATGGCCAGAAATGATCGAATTATGGACAAAATTCAAAATAAATACATAGCATTCAATTGAATTCATGCAACGTTAAAAGTTTTGAAAAGTTGTGATGAATGATGATTCACACATAGCACAGGGCCATTCACCAGAAGTCTATGCATTGAATACTATGTATTTATTTTGAATTTTGTCCATAATTCGGTCATTTCTGGCCATTGGCAGATTCTCTCAACGGTAAATAAATCTATGGACCGTACTGAACATGTACATATAAATTAAAATGGGCTAAGCAATTTGCTATATAGATTAATTCCTTTTCAGACTAATGTCCCAAAGCGTGGGTTCAGTCATATCCTAATGAAACTCTAAACACGTGTTGAGAGACATCAAAGAATTCATACATTATTCCAACGAACGCTCATTTTGTCCATAAAAACGCCTTTTTCTTCATTACTCGAAGTGTTTTTCATTACTCCGAGAATAATCTCATTTTTCCCCGAAATGAACGCCTCGTTGTCTTTCCCTTCCCTCTCATCCAAACCACTCATCTCTTCGAGTAATAGAAAATTCTATAAAATTAAACAATTTTATATTTAAAACTAAATTTAAAATTATTAAATCAATTCATCATTACATAGATTACAACACAATTACCTGGATACGTTTGATGACTATAATTAACTCGCTGAGAGCGGCTATAGCCAGGGGTGCGTTCATTCCTATTCCCCAACGCAAGGCATTAAAGTAGGCAATTGTGGCAAAGGCTGTCTCCGCCGACAACTTCTCGCCCATCAGTATATATGTTAGAAAACAGGCGTATATTATAACCCGTGTTATCACAAAATACAGCGAAAAATTAACGCCTTTCAAAAAACTTGATAAACGGATTTGTTTTACTTCAGACCTGATATTAAATATAACTTATTATTGATATTTGGTTAATATTTACAAATAATATGTTTACTAAAACATTATCATTTGTGTCATTACTTGCGAGCGATTGCCACCAACTGTGCGAAGGGCTGTTCCCAGGCGTACATCTTTATGACACGCATTCCGGCGATAATCTCTTGCATTAAACGGATTCGACTGTCAGTTAATTC